GATGTGAATGACAATGCGCCCGAGTTTCGCTACCCCAACACTTCCATCCTGCTGCACATGGCACCGGACGAGACTCTGGGACACAAAATTCTCACTGTGCAGGCGGTCGATCGAGACGAGGGCGAGAATGCTCGCATCTCCTACAGCATCCGCTCAGAAATTCCCATTCCGCCAGATGGGCCCGGCACTGGATGTTTCGCCATTGACGAGGCCAGTGGACTCATTTTCCTCACTAGGTATGCACCTCTACATATAAAAGCGGCCGTTTTGGTATTTGAGCTTGTCTCTGATTCCTACAGGGGGGGGAAAGGTTGCTTGCAAAAGTAGAAATTTATTGATGAACGGTATTACCTCAGCCGCACAGGTTGATAGAACCAAACGTGTCATCCATCGCGAAATGTATACTCCTTCGGGGTGTAATTAGTAAAAATTTTATTTCTCCAAACCAGGGTTTTATTGATAGTTCAGCAAATTATTTCATATTCAACTATTTCTAGTTCATCAGTAAAACGAACAAAGTACTAGACAAGGAAGAGGACGTGTCGAGCACCGGATCAATTCGTTTATTGTCCTGAACTTTCGAACTCTTACAGGAGTTCATCGAAAGTTCAGGACAATAAACCAATTGATCCGGTGCTTGACACATCTTCTTCCTTGTCTATGCAAATGCCTGGGACGCGAACCTTTTCACTCCTTCGGGAACAAAATACTAAATGCAATTCTTGTTTACTTATAGCTTAAGCGACTATTCAAGGCAAAATCGGCTTCACTCAGTTATATCGTGCATTGTTTAAATCTAGTTAAATAATAAGTACATTTCTTAACTGTATATCCACGTGCACTGCTCGAACGGTTGAGTACTATAGGTTATTCCTCATTCCATTAATCACTTATCAAACCTCCATACACCCAAATAATTTGACCTATTTGACGACGCACACCGGACAAGTCGTGCGATGCATGAACGTCAAATGTGCACAGATTAGCAAATAACAGAGTGAAAATTTAAAAAAAAAATATTTGCACGACTAACAGCTAGATGGTTAATTTTTATGGTTTTACCATAACACGATTTATGGGAAACAGAACACATCTATAACTTGAGTCAGGAGACCACAGGTTTGCTGATCGATTCAAACGTTATCATTCAAACTGGTTTACCATCATACATTTACATAGGAGGCGACTCTAGTTCATCACCAAAGACGCAAGTAGATAGGTGGAGGCAGTTACCGAGCTTGAAACAGTTAGCGGAACCTTTTCACAAGATCATGTACGAGTGGCGGGACTAGAAATTATACCCAATGTTCTGAGCTGGTATCCTATTAGGACAAAAAGTTCATTCCAAACATGAACATTCTACGCGCCTCAGGTAAAACAGCTGAAACTGCTAATTCTGAGCCATGATATACTGCAGACGTATTTTATTCAGTATGGCTAAGGACATTTGACCAAACTCCCGACTCATATGAAAATGGATCGATCGGAAAAAATGTCTGTTGATTTCCCTTTGTTGTTCATTTGCCAGCTTTAAATGAATCAATTTCTTAAAATGCCTGCATATATCTTATTTATCATTTGACTACGTGACACCCCCGGCATATACATATATTTACCACGTACCAATAGAGTTCTAGTCTATGACCAACGGTATTCAGTGTTGCCTATTTGTTCAATTAAAAACAGGCCAATCAGGGGCCCCGTAAACCACAGACTCGTTATAGAGGCTTGTGATCACGGAGCCATTCCACGCTGCACTTCCTCACCCGGCATCCGGATTACGGTATCTGACGATGTGAAGCTCGGCGCTTCGCCTACTCGGCCACGACCGCATGCACGCATT